TATCACTTACTGGGGATGTGCTGCCCAGGTCTTTCTCTTTGTCTTTTTCATTTCGGCAGAGATTTTTCTTCTCACCGTCATGGCCTACGACCGCTACGTTGCCATCTGCAAACCCCTGCACTACGGGGCCCTCATGGGCAGCAGAGCTTGTGCCCACATGGCAGCAGCTGCCTGGGGCAGTGCTTTTCCATATGCTGTGCTGCACACGGCCAGTACATTTTCACTGCCACTCTGCCAGGGCAATGCTGTGGAGCAGTTCTTCTGTGAAATCCCCCAGATCCTCAAGCTCTCCTGCTCACACTCCTACCTCAGGGAAGTTGGGATTATTGTGGTTAGTACCTGTTTTACCTTTGGGTGTTTTGTTTTCATTGTGGTGTCCTATGTGGGGATCTTCAGGGCCGTGCTGAGGATCCCCTCTGAGCAGGGCCGCCACAAAGCCCTTTCCACGTGCCTCCCTCACCTGGCTGTGGTCTCTGTCTTCATCTGCACAGGCATGTTTACATACCTGAAGCCCCCATCCACCTCCTCCCCATCCCTGGACTTGGTGCTGACAGTTCTGTACTCAGTGGTGCCCCCAGCAGTGAACCCCCTCATCTACAGCATGAGGAACCAGGAGCTCAAGGATGCCATTATGAGTGCTTTTCAGAAGCACCAATGAACTGCCCTTCTTTTTCTGCATATCCCTCGTAATGTAACTCATTACAAGCCCAGCCTTTCTGGGGTAAGTGCTTTGGTTTGATTTGTTTGGTTTCCATCTTTTGCTTGACTTCCTTGCTTTTCAGCTCTTCTTTGTTGAATTAATGCTGTCCACAAGGAAAAGAAAAAAAAAAAAAACAACCCAAACCAAAGCAAATTTAGAAAGTTACCAACCCATTCTTCATCATATTTCTTCCTGCTATATGTGACCCAGAGACTTTGTGTAAATAAGGAGCTGTTCCCTCTGTGTGTTTAAGCAAAATAAAGGAACCTTCACCAACTTTTTTTCTTAGATACTTTCTCCTAAGCCTCTGGTGCCGTGTCTGTGTGCTGAAGTGGAGGGGCAGTAGGACCCCTGAGATGCGTCTGCCTCCAGGCCCGAACAGCACAACCCTCGGCAGCACAGCCCCCTTGCTCTGCAGTGCTGCAACGCCAGCTTGGGAGCTGTGTGGAGCCCAGTGTTGGTGTGTCTGAGTTGCCAGCCAGGCCAGCACAGATGAACTTCTCTTGGGTAAATACTCTGCTCGGAGGTGGCTGTCCCAGGAGAAGAGCAGGGTACGTATGCTTGCAGGAGAGACATGGAAAAGAAAACCCAGTGTTGCCGAAGGCAGCCTGGGAATGTGGTCCCCTTTCACTGGGGCAACAGGACGTTCCTGCGGATGCTCTAGACCAATTCTCTCATGCTGTGCTAGGGAACAGGTCAGGCATCTCTGGCTGTAACTTGCCTGGGGTGCAGATCTTGTCAGTATTTCCGCTGGATAAACATTCTCATTGTCCTCCATTCCCTGCTGTGGAACCAGTCCCAGTAGGGCTGCTCTGCTGTGCTTAGCTAGGAGAGGGCAGAGAGTTGGCAGTATTCAGAGAACAACTGATATGGCTGGACTGACAGGTGCCCCAGAGAGAAAAACACCATTGAACAGCTAATGTGTGTGATGTGGAGGCTGTGGGAACCGCCAGGCTCCTGCCAGAGACATGAAGGACCAGCAGAGCAGGGTCTGCTCTCTGCCGGTGTTCACTGGACACTCTGGGGAAGCTGCCTCAGCCCCATCACCACAGTCCAGCCAGCAGCAATCACCATTTCAAGGACTGGCCCCTCACCCCAACCTGTAGAGGTTGGTTGTCCCTCAACACTGATACACCAAATGACCAGGTCAGAAGCCCATCTGTACGTGTGTGCATGTAGGGCGTTGGACTCAAGTCAGTAAAAATGCCATCAGCAATTCCTGGAGGTACCATGAAAGTGTGTGAGACAGACAGTGTCCTGAAGTCACCTCCCTTGGAAAGAAAGATCCCTTATGGGAAAACACCTGAATGATGCACTGGGATGAGGACCCCGTGCTCATGCCTCATGTTGTGGGGCATCTCAGACAAGTGCAGAGCAGGGGGACACATCACAGGGCTGTGGTGCCTCTCAGCCTCTGAAAGTGGCAGCAGGATGCAGAGGGACACTGTGACCGCTGCAGTTCATGGCCTATGCATGTAGAATGAAACGACTCCTAGCTCTGATCTCTCATGTGTGTATGAAGAGTCCTAGTGGACAGCTCTGATGTGGACAGCTGAGGGATCTCTGACATGTCTGTGTGTGACTCCAGGAACAAATCCCCACTGTCCCAGTCACATCCTGGTCGGAAAAAGAAAAACTGCAACAAAGTGCAGCTTGGAAAGTGGAGACTGGACATGAGGAAGAAGAAATGTTCCTTGATGAGTAGAACTGTGCTGCAAAAGGTCACCCAGAGAGAGCTGGTGCTCAGCCCATGGCTTACTGTTTCAGAGAACAAGTGAGAAGGGAAGAGACATGAGAGGAGCAAGATGGGGAAACAAGATAGGTGTCTACAGTCTGCATGAAAACAGGGGCAGGTGTGGGACAGCCTGAGATGGAAATTGCCAAGGGCACTGGCAAGGTTGGAAGACCCCAACAGACTCCATGACTTTGTCCTCTTGGCTGTGGCAGTTGACTCTGCCATAGGCAAAGGATATGAGAAGACATATTGTCCACATGGCACTGGGGCTTCATTTCCTCCCTGAAACCCCATGAGGAAGCTGGGAGTGTGAAACCAGTGTCTTACACGGGGCATTGCAAACCCCACATCTGCTGCCCTAGGAAGGGCCCTGAGGTATGTGTGTGGATCAGGATCCCCTTCCAATAGGCTGGTGGTCAGGGCTTGGCCTTTCTGCTTCATAAAGCAGACTAAATGTATTTCTCAGCATCAAAGCCACCTGCACAGTACTTTGACTAGTTATAATTGGGCCTCCAATTATCTTCTCTAATGAGTCCATGGGGAGGCTGTGTCAGTGGTGGCCCTCAGTGGGGCCCATTAATGCTTCAAGGTACTTTGTGTTTTGCTTCTGCCTTTGTCACCTTCAGGGGTTTGTGCAGTCTCTTCTCAGTACCTGAGGTTCATGGACTCAGCACTACACACACAATGGGCTCATTAAAATGTAGAAAACACAAACAAGCTACATCTCATCTTAATTTGCTTCGTCTTCAAGACTTGTATAGCTCCTGGGAGAGGTGTCAGGAGGTAGGTAAAGAGGAATTTTTTAGTGATCACTTTGACGACATGATAGAAGAATTCTCCAACTCATAATGATGCAGAGTGTCTCCTAAGGAGCTGTGAACAGGTAGGAAAAGTGATCCCTGGAAGTTTTCAGAGGTGACTTCAGACATGGCGAGTTTCATTGGGACAGCCAGAAACACCTGGAAGGTTAGGGGATTCAGATAGGCAGATAACAGACGAAGTGTGCACAGTGGAAGCACAGAAGATCACTGTCTCCTCTCCCACAATTAATAGACATTCTGAAAATTCACATTTTGGCAGGGTAGAAATCACACTGATATTGTATGGAAAGCACTGAATCACTTCCACTGATAAAAAGGTGCTTAATTTTATTTTCCCTCATCCAGTACTGAGAGCATTTCTCAGGTTTTCAGGCAGAGCTCTGCTGTCACATCAAAAGCACCCAGTGCTACCTCGAGGTGGCCCCAGTATATGTGAGGTACTTGCCTGGGACTTGCAGTTATCAGAGGGAACATGTGGGATACATAGCCCCTGAGATCTACAGGAGGAATCCTTTCCAAAATCCCAGGGCATCTACACTGGAATGAGGCATCCATGTCCCTGTAACTGCATCCCACCCCAGCACACAACATCCCTCTTCTGACTGACATTTGCAGAGATTGTTCAATGTCCGCAGAGGACCTGGGGGTTCATGGACTCAGCACTAAACACACCATGGCGTCATTCCAATTGGTATACCCCAGTGAGCTGTGTTTATTCTATCGCTAACATCCAGTAAACAATTGAAAAATAATTGTACAATTAACTAGACAGGTTTCAGGATTCTAATTAAACAGGAAAATTTCAGGGAGCACTTAATAGAAGGGCTCATCTCACACAGTTTCAGCGTTTCTGTGTGTGACTCCAGGAGGAACCATGACTCTCCCACTGACATTGCAAAAGTTCCTGTCTGCTACATCACAGTCCGCTGTGCTGCTGGCCTGTGCCCTCAAATACACAGTGTGAAAGCAGCACAGCTCTGGAGCATCTCACCTGTGCAGTCAGAAGGAGTTCTGTACATGTGAGCAGCACTGACTTCCAGGAACAGACATTTCTCATATTGCAGAAGGCACAAGACACATCTGTGGGCTATGAATGCACTCGTAGGCTCACACATTTTCATGTTTCTCCTCTTTGAACTTCACAGTTTCTTGCAGCAACTATCAAAGAAAGAAATGTTGTCCCTCTTAGGTGTTCTGCTGGGAAGGAGTGGAAGAAAAGGACCTTAGCCTTTCACAGAGAAAGGGAACTGAGACAGTGACACATCACCAACGGACTCTGAAAACCTGCTGAATGAAATGTGGCTTGAGATGTTCCCTCTCCAGCAGGTATGATACAATCATAGGATCATAGATTTTTTGAGTTGGAAAGGACCTTAAGGATCATCTGCTTCCATCCACCTGCCATTTGCAGGGGCATCCTTCACTAGACCAGATTGCTGAAAGCCTCAGCCAGCCTGGCCTTGATCTCCTTGTGATGGGGCATCCACATTTATTCTGGGCAACATGTTACAGCGTCTCACAACCCTCTTTAGGAAGAATTATTTCCTGATATCACACCTAATCCTACCCACTTTCCATTTATTTCCATTACCCCTTTTCCTGTCACTACAGGTGCTTGTAAAAAGTCGTGTCCCCCCAGCTTCCTTGTAGGCAACCTTCAGGCACTGGAAGGCAGCAATAAGGTCTCCCCAGATCCTTCTCTTCTCCAGGATGAACAAGCCCAATTTTCTCAGCCTTTCATCATAGGAAGGGTGCTCCAGCCCTCAGAGCATCTTCATGGACTCCTCTGGACTCGCTCCAACAGGTCTATGTACTTCTTATGTTGAGGGCTCTGGAGCTGGACACAGTATTCTATTCCGGGGTCTCATGACATCTGAATAGAGGACGAGAATCTCCTCCCTCGACCTGCCAGCCACACTTCTCCTGATCTAGCCCAAATATACTGACTTTTGACAGGCAGCCAGTAATTCAGGGGAACAGAAGGCACCTGATGTAATGCTCAAATATTTATTTGCATTTTTGATCTGCTTGTTTCTTTTCTGGAACATACTGATGTTATGTGTCATGTCGTAAAGGGATGAGGATCAAACAATGCTCTTAATACAGCCAGAATGAATGTGGTGGCAGATGCTTCTTTGTGTTTAGCAGGATCTGTCCCTCTGGATGACCTCCCTTCCCTCCAGAGTGTGAACAGCATCACAAAGCTCAGTGTCCTGGGAAAAGCTGTTGAGGGTTCACTCGATCCCACTGTCCATGTCACTGACGATGATAAACAGCACCAGTCCAATAGCGATCCCTGAGGAATGCCAGTAATCACTTGTCTCCATTCAGAAATCGAGCCATTGATCAAGACTCTCTGAGTGTGACCATGAAACCCGTTCTTTATCCAACAAGTGGTCCAT